AGAAGTCAAAGGCATACAAATCAGGAAGGAGGAAGTCAAACTATTCTTATTTACATGTGACATGATCCCATACTAGGGGACCCAAAAGACTACACTAACAGACTATTGGAATTCATAGAAGAGTTTGGATATGTAGCAGGATATAAAATCAACACACAAAAATCAATAGCCTTTGTATATGCAGATAATGCCACAGCTGAGAAAGAGGTTCTAAGATCAACCCCATCCACAGTAGCTTCCAAAAAATCAAATACCTTAGAATAAACTGATCAATATCATCAAATGTCCAAAAGCAATTTACAGACTCAATGCAATACCAATCAAAATACTAAAAACATTCTTCTCAGATATAGAAAAAATTATGTTGAAATTCACATGAAAACAAGGAGACCCTGATAGCTAAAGCAATCTTTACACAACAAAAACAAAGCCGGAGGCATCATGATACCAGATTTCAAGACATACCAAAGGGCAGTTATAATCAAAACAGCCTGGTACTGGTACAAAAACAGATGGATAGACCAAACAGTATAGAAACATCCTGGAAAAAAAAAAGAAAGAAAAAGAAAAAGAAACACCTGAAATCAATCCAAGCATCTACAACTTATCCAACAAAGGAGCTAAAATCAACCCCTGGAGCAAGAAAAGTCTCAACAAATGGTGCTGGGAAAACTGGATTTTCACAAGCAGAATCATGAAACAAGACCTTCACCTGACACATTTCATCAAAACCCACTCAAAATGGATTAAAGACCTAAATCATAACTCAGTATCATCCAATTGTTAGAGTAAGAGAAACCCTACAAGACATCAGAACAAAGAGTTCTTAGAAAGACCCCAGAGGCATAGGCAATCAAAGCCAAAATTCACAAATGGGATTACATCAAATTGAGAAGCTTCTGTACTACAAAATAGGAAAGTGAAGAGCCAATTGATAGACTGGGAGAAATTATTAGCAAGCCTTGTAACTGATAAAGGATTAATAACCAGAATATATAAAGTGATCAAGAATTTCAACAACAAAACAACCCTGTTAAGAAATGGGCAAAGGACCTAAACAGACATTTTTCAAAAGAGGAAATCCAAATGGCCAACAGACACATAAAAAAATGCTCAGGATCACTAGCTGTCAGGTAAATACATATCAAAACCACAAAGAGGTTTCACCTAACCCCCACTAGATTGACTTTCATAAAGAAATCAAAGAAACAAATGCTAGCGAGCATGTGGAGAAAAACGTACCCTAATCCACTGCTGGTGGGAATGCAAACTGGTAAAACCACTATGGAAGACAGTTTGGAGATACCTCAGAAATCTGAATATAGTCCTACCATACGACCCAGCCATCCCACTCCTGGGAATCTACCCAAGGGAAATGAAATCAACATAGGAAATGGCATATTAAAGAACTATCTGTACCCCCATGTTTATCGCAGCTCAATTCACAATAGCAAAGACATGGAATCAACTGAAATTCCCATCAACTGGAGACTAAAGAAATTATGAGATATGTACACCAAAGAATATTACACAGCAGTAAAAAAAGAAAGAAAAAAAAAGTCCAGTCATTTGCAAGAAAATGGATGAAGCTGGAAAGCATCATACTTAGTAAAACAAGCTAGTCCCAAAGGGACAAATTCTGTATGTTCTCCCTGACTTGTGATAACAGAGAACCATAAAGATAACATGCAGAAATGAAATGGACACTTTGAGAAGCAATGATTTAGAACAGCCCTCCTTTCAACTATTCAACATGCACAAATCAATCACTGTGATACATCACAGTGACAAACTGAAGAATAAGAATCATACGATTATCTCAATAGATGCAGAGAAATTACTTGACAAAATATAACACCCCTTCATGATGAAAACTTTAAGCTTCTATATTTTTGCTTAAAAAAAAAAAAGATAAAGATTTATTTATTTATTTGAAAGAGTTACACAGAGAGAAGAGAGGCAGAGAGAGAGAGAGGTCTTCCACCTGATGGTTCACTCCCCAACTGGCTGCAACAGCTGGAGCTGTGCCAATCCAAACCCAGGAATCTGGGTCTCCCACATGGATGCAGGGGTCCAAGGTCTTGGGCCATCTTCTAGTGCTTTCCCAGGCCATAGCAGAGAGCTGGATCGGAAGTGGAGCAGCTGGGTCTTGAACCGTCATCCATATGGGATGCTGGCACTTCAGGCCAAGGCGTTAACCCACTGCGCCACAGTGCTGGCCCTTGTTTATCTTTTCCTTTATAATACTTTCCTTATCTTTTTCTCCTTCATATGAGTCATTGTATGCTATACTTAACATAGAGTTAATCATATATACGTACAAAGTTAAATGAAAATAGATCTCAGTAAAGAATAAGAGTAAGAATAAG